AAGGTGAGTGTTCAGTGGCTGCACCGTCGATTGGAGCTCTCCATCATCCGGTCTGCCCGTGTGCAGACGGGGATCTACATTCGGACCCCCTCTGCCCTCTGGGAGCCCGATGCCACCGAAAACCCAAAGCAAGATGTGGCTAATCTCGTCACCCAGATATCTCGCCATATTGCCGTGCCCAAACTCATGGCACAGAATTGTGAGCAGCAGCACGCACTCGTTTTCCACAGCACGAAGTACACTCCAGATGAGTTGGATGTCTGTGCCGACCCCCCCGGCCAATGTTGATCAAGTCGTATATGAAAAAGAACAACACGAAGTAGGAGAGCTTGATCGGAGCACGGCAGATCGTGCAGATCGTGTATAGAGCAGTCCCGGAACCTCGCTTCGCCCTGGCTCCCGAAGCCCATGTTTCGCGTCGTAGTCCCGGCCCAGTGCCGCAAGCAGAAAAGGGCTCAAGGCACAATGGGCGATGGGCGGCTTACTTGAGTGCGCTTCGGACGCACTGTCTTGCACCTACATTTTACGAAGATGCTGTCTGGTAGGGAGGGTTTAGGGCTTTAGGGGGGTTTGGGTGTTTTTTGGGGTTTCGGGTTAGGGCTTTGCAAGAATCGGAGATCTGCGTCCTCGTCTCCAGCTTCCAGCAAAGAGGCTGCTAACCTCAGGGGCGTTGTGTTGCATGCTGGTGATGGGGAACGTGATGATGATGATCATGATGATATAGGTTGTTATTGTCATCAGTAGCAGAAGTAGTAGTCGTAGTCGTAATAGTAGTAGCCGCAGGAGGATGAGGAGGAGAAGGAGGAGGAGGAGTAGGAGCAGTAGCAGTCGCAGCAGCAGCAGCAGCAGCAGCAGCAGCAGCAGCAGCAGCAGCCGCAGCAGCAGCAGTAGCAGTAGCAGTAGCAGCAGCAAAGCAGCAGTAGCAGTAGCAGTAGTATAGTGGCAGTAGTATAATGGCAGCAACAGGAGTAGGAGCAGTAGTAGTAGTCGTCGTCGTAGTAGTAGTAGTAGCAGTAGTAGAAGTGGTGGTATAGTATGAGTAGTACAAGGAGGAGGCGGGGGCGGGGGAGGAGAAGGACGAAAAGGAGGAGGAGGAGTGCAGTAGGAG